ATGGGTACATGCATGTGGCCTTGTCAATTAATGACACTTCTCTAAGTTCATTGATATTAATGAACCAATAATATTTTAATTGGACCAAATTAATTTTGACCTTTCAATTGATCAACTTTGTTTTTGACCCTAATCGTGTCTACATATACATGTCACAACCTCATTATCCAATTGAATCCAAATGGGTGAATTGGGTCAACTTTATTAGTAAAAACTAAATTTGGCTAAGGCGGTACTTGATTTGTTGCGAAAAAAAAGCATTGCAAAAGTAATGTATCGTGTTTTGAATACTTTGACTTCAGCGAAAAATAAATGCAACGGTTTACGTCTTGTTTGGCTAACAAGATGAAAACAATATACAATATGTCGGTGGCAATGATGGCACTACATTGGTCGAGTCGGGCGAACAGGGAGGCTACAAAAACTGACGGTGGCGGCGAGAGGCCAACAAAGCTTCTCTGTGAAGGTCAAATTAGAACTCACCAATTATTTGGGCATGGAGTTTCCGTAGCATAATCCAATTAGAATGGATTAAATTTTATGTTGAAATAATACATCTCTAATCAGATATATTAGAATAAGTTATTTATTAAATTTTTAATATATAAGCCTAAACTAAATCAATAAATAACTAAATAAATACCAGCAACAAAGTCATGAATGCCGGATTAACAAGGAAGGAGGCCTTGCTCTTTCAGATGTTTCTGCAGCTTCTCGGGATTTGTAGTCTAAAATGCCAAGTCTGAATCTTTCAGCCGTTGAAAATACTTCATATTCTCCGAATAATTCAACCGAGGGGATTATAAAATAAAAATTAAATCTTGATAGATATTAGTGGTATTATAATAAATGGCCGCCCGTGATATTTGCATTTCTCTGCTGAAGATGATGCTCAGCCGCTGCCAGAAGCCTTCTCTCTCTCTCTCTCTCTCTCTCTCTCTCTCTCTCTCTCTCTTTCTCTCTCTCTCTCTCTCTATGTGAAGGCCAACGTTTTGTTTAAGGAAACAAAGATAAAATATTTATAGCATATTATTGATAACTTTTATTGTAATCTTTTCAGACCACCAACGTCTGAAACAGAAATACAATATTGCATGCATTATAGCAATATCAATTGGTACTGAAGTTATTGAAATAATTAGCTTGTTTATACAACGCTAAGAAAGCTTATTACTTGTGTTTATTAGTTAATCTATCATAGAGGTTATGATGTAAGAACTGTGTGAATTTCAGAGGCTGTTTAGTGGGCAGAGAGAGAGAGAGAGAGAGAGAGAGGAGTAACATGCAAATTATGAAACAAGAGCAATAGAAGGAGAAAATTTCTTAGTAGTTGTTATTATTTTAATGAAAATACTTCTATGAGTTTAAGAACACCAGAAATAGAGAGTAAGAGAGTGGATAGTATGGGATACATTTAAAGTAGTTGTCTCTTTGGATTTGAGAGTTTCTTAAGGATGTATGTTCAAGCACTACAATTTGAGGTCAATACTTATTTTTCTTGGTAGACAAATGTACATTTTTATTAGGTAAATTTTCCTTCTTGGTTATATTTGATTCCTAGATGTTTTGTAGGGTTGAGACCCATATCTTTGTTATTCATTTATCTGCTACACCAATTATAATAAAATAGGAAGTTATATGAGTAGTTTTAGCATGAATTATTGCTACATATGTTTACACATTACCATAATTAAATGTGATAAGCTTTATTGATGCAACTCATGCTATGATCAATCAATAATACTAGCCTTTTAAAATTTTGAAATATATAAAATTATATGTGTGTATGCAGTGGAGTGTAGATCGTTAGGATTCTTCTGGATATTGGCTAGCCTAGCTAATAATCCCATAAAGTGAAGACTCTATAAAAAATCTTTGAATTACATACCTTACATTGTTGTTTATCAATTGAATTTCAAGATGTAATGATAAAACCGGCTATATCGATATATAATATATCATGGATTAACATATGATTGTTAAGACATATAGAGTAATATGAGTGCCCCTATTGTGATGTCATATGGTTGTATATAATGCCTTACAATATACATATCAATTATTATGACTAACATCATACTGAAAATTATTTTAGAGTTCTGGATAAAGCTTGTCTATACACTATTAATTCAACTCGATGGTATGATGTTGACACTTAATATCTAATGTAATATTATAAATCACACTCTTTCGTTGTTCATGTATTCATATCTAATGTCTTAATGTTTACGCTCTAAAGAATAGCAGTTAAGCATTTTATCTATCAAACTCGTTCAATATAGCTTTTCTTACAGCAGATCACAACGTTTGACAAATCATAAATCTCATGAGCAAATTTTTAAAACTAAATTTGTTTCATTGTTTTTTTTTTTAATTCTTATTACATTTTTATTAACTTTTAAATAGCTTTGCTTTTAAATTTGTTTTTTTTAATGCATGTTCAATAAAATTTTATTTTTTCTTCTTTATTAAATTGTTGTTATAATTTATATTGATTGAATGAAATGTTATTTTTTTCCTTATAAAGGTTACCATATTATGTTTATAAATGCTTGTTTTCTCTTGCAGTATAAAATAAATTTTTTAAATGCCTTCACTATGTTGTCTAACTAATTATTCAATTAAATAACAAAGTAAAATTAATTGGTTATTTTTTAAAACTTACTTTCTAATTTAAATCAAAGTATGGACATTAAAAAAAAGCTCTTATCTCAAGTAATGATACTTTTACTATGATTTTTTTATTATATATCTAAAAATGATTATAAATTTATTTTAAAACACAAGTTTTAGTATAGCAAAGATAACCATTTTTTAAAATTTATTTAACTCGGTTGCTTGAAATTATAACTTCTATTTAAAAATAATAGAGCCGTTTTATTTTAAATAATACAAATTTAAAAAAAAATGTTAACATTATATATTTCATTACAATAATAAAATTATTATTTTTTAAAGTTTATTATTATTATTATTATTATTATTATTATTATATATATACATATAAAAGTAATAAAATGTTTCTTTAGATTCATCTATGCAAAACACAACGACTATTTAATTCTTTTTTTTTCCTCCTATAACCCTAGTTCCTCTCTAATGCATCTTTCTTCCATTGTTCGTGTTCTTGCCTTTCACTTGCATACAACTCCACTTTCAAGGAACAACAACCCTTCTTATATCTATCTCATCAATATCCTTTAGCACTTATAGTTTTTCCATACTTTAGCACTTTAAAGTGATGATGTTAAATTTGGTTATCGAGCTAGCCTCCTCTAATGTGATTCTCCTAATTTGGTCTAATTTATTATTTTTATTGATTAGCTTTTTGTATAATTATTGTTGATCAGTCTCTTCCTCTAACTTGCAGTGGCCCCAGTGATATGCCAACTAAAGAGCCTCTCCCTGCTCCAGCGCATCTATGGGTGTTATTCTTATTTTTTCCCTAAATAAATCTTTTTTATGCAGCTAATCTTGGGTCGAACCAAGCTAACTTAATTTCATACTTTTCTATAAATAGTTGTGTTCAATTTTGCTCAGAACAACATTAAATAATTTCAAATATTATTTCAAGATAAACTTTCTATTATTATTCCCCAAAGAAGAATCATTAAGCCTATTGAACTACTGAAACTTTCTTTGGCTAGCAAGTTCATATAAGGTTATCTCAATCTAACAATCATAAAAAATATTAAGAATTTTATAATCTAAGCTTTAATTTTTTTTCCTCACATTAATTAATTTGAGATATGTCTTATCAAACTCTTAACTATATAAGATTGAAATACTTTATTTTTTTTGGTAAATTTAGCCTTCTATAGGGTTTCCTCTTGGAAGTTAAATGGTATTGGAACTTGACCTACTAAATGAATCCCATATCATACTATTTGGAAGATATTTTCCCATCTCAAGTGCATCTGATTTGATAGATCGAGTAATCTTTTTTTATCTGAGGTCAATATTTAGCACCCAATTATATAAGAATGTTCTAACAACATTAGTTTGTTGTCCTCCTTTTGCTCTAGTGTTGATGAAAGTTAATTATAAAATATTTATAGAGAAAATTTGGATCAACGTTAAGTAAAATGACTATTGCTAGAAGTTGGACTCTAAAAAGATGTCATTCTAGTACATTAATCATTTCACATATGTGATGCCTCATGTAAAAAGCTGCTTCAATATTAAATACTTTGGTATCTTAAAGATGTGCAATTATGTGGGTCGGTCGTTTATAGTTCTTAGAAAATGACCCTTATCTCTTCTCTCCTTAGGAGAATGCCTTATTTTTGCATTTGAATTTTAACACAGATGTTTCCATCAATTTATCTCTCTTTAACTCATTTCCTTCTACTTATATTAATCTGGATCCCTCCACTCAACTGAAATTGTTTGTAGTTTTGCTATTAGATGCCACTCGTAATGAAAATCAATAAAGAGAATCAATTCTTAAATCTTCTTGTACTAATTCATATAATGTCAATTGTAACTCATCTTAAGCAATGCAAAGATAATATCTCACCCCTTTTAAACAAATGGCTATTTTTAGCTTTCTTACTAGGTTTGAGGGATAAAACAAAACCTCACTAAATATTTTGAGACATGTGAGATCTTATATGGAGGACTCTCTAAAATATAATCCATTCAAATAAGACACTAACAATAGCTATATTTTGCCCAATTTTGAGATTTATATAATTTCCACTATTTTTCAATCTATCTTTTTGTGGAATTCATATTTTTATGACTCTTGCACAATACTTATCTCATGATTCCATTATATCATCACACACAATGATATTTCACTTTTATTAAGAAAATATAAGTGTCTTTTCCATTCAAACTCATACCCTAATTACATTACTATCAATATAAAACAAAACCAAATAAAATACTAATCAAATATTTAAAAAAAAAAATTGCTCTTCCGTCACCTGTAAAAAATCAAATCAGCAAGAGGATCCCTCACAATGCAACCCAAATCAGATCCATTCAACTTTCGATCAATGCTTCTGCGTTTGTTGAGAAAAGAACAGCGTTCCTGTCATAAAAGCCCCAACCGGATTCGGATACATCGAAGAACTATCCGTTTCAAAATCGCCGCCAACCGCCGTCCTACCCCCAATATCCATTCCCGGCGCAAACCCGCCGGCTGTCACGGCGGCGCCGCCCGATAAGCACTCGCCGGCGAGGTGCATTTGGTTCTCCGCCGACGAAAGCACCGGCCCTTGATCATATAACAAACCCTTAAAAACATGACCTTTTATACTCACCGCCGTCTGATACGCAAGCTGCTCCTCCGTCTCATCCATTTGTCTCACCCGCACGCATCGAAATACCGCCGGTAAAGTAACCTCCGCCGGAAAAATCACACCTTGATCTCCTACAGCCCTTCTGGAGCTTTCTCCTCCGGCCAGCTTTTGATTCCGTTGTCGGCGTTTGGCGGCGGGAACCCATGTGCTTTTTACATGTGTTTGGCAGTAAAAGCCGCGATTTTTACAGCAAACTTGGCATCGCATGTGAGAGCAATTTTTCCTCGCTTGGATTCCGCAATCTTGACAAGTTATTAATCCATTTCTGTATTCGCCGGCGAGCTCATCGCCTCCGCTACCAAAGGCCAGCAGAGAGCCCGAAGGAACTGAGAAAAGTTGCTCTTGTTGTTGCCATATGGGTTGCCCTTCGCGGCGAGTTCTGTTGTAAAAGAAAAAGCTTTCTTGTTCGTCTCCTCTTTGGTAGCCGTAGCCGTCACCGGAGCCTCCTAGGTAAAAGCCTGCCATTGTTCTCCTGTGTTTGGTTTCTCCTGAGATTCCATAGCCACTGCTTTGCTTGCAAGTGGATCACAAAAACCTTCGCTTGCTTCTTAGAGAAAGCATGGTGAAGAAGAAAAGAGAAAGTGAAAAGGAAGTTACAGAATGAAGCAATTGTGGTCTGTTTTATTAAGTTTTTTCGCTGATTTATATAGTGTTATACATATACACCTATATATACACCTATATATATATATATATATATATATATATTTAATTATTTCAAGTTAAAAAGAGCCAAATATATATATGTATATATTTGGCTTTTACTCCCGATTCTTATTGTTGAGAAATTAGGGCGCAGAAAAATAGAAATCGACACAAATTTAGAAGAACAAAAAGATTTAACAAGGTTCAACAAAGATGTCTACGTCGTCAGGAATAGAACTTCCATTAATCTAAAAAAAGAGTACAAAATACAGAATACAATAACCTAGGGATTCAAACATGTCTATTTATAACCCTAGAAAGAGTAGAAAAGAAAATATTGAGTACAATATGTAATTAACAAATTATCCCTTATTGTACCCCCAACTCACATAAGGAAACTCTCCTGATTTAAACAGAATCTTCAGCTCCGTTCGCATATATCCCTTATATGATATATGAGCCATACCTAACACTTATGTATTTACATATTTACCTACCGTCAAAATTTGTATTTAGTTGGACGTTTTTCATGGATTTTTTGTTGTTGAAGATTTTTAACTCTATGATTGCGGGACAAGCTTTTTTGGAAGCTTTATTAGAAGTGATTAAACAACCGAGACTATTTGATTAACAGCAACAAATCATTACAGAGACTTTTCGAAAACTAACTTTTTAATCGGTCGCCATCAAATCACCTAATTGTTGAATTGAGTGCAAGTGCATTTAACCTGTAAGGTAATTATCAAAGCCATTAAAAAACTAGGGGTACTTACACACATACCACTCAAGTCTTATATATTTACATATCTAGCATTTATATCACTGAAATCTTTCACATCACATAAAAAATATTATAATTTTAACTAAAATAAAAGTAAAATACATCTTTCATACATTAATAAGAAGGTATATACGTAAAAATTGAAGTTTTAGTTATATAAATACCTAACATCTAAACTTTAATTATTTTATTTAGCCTTTAGAATGGGTGTTTGCAATTTTTATGTATTTACATATCTAATGCTTGAATTTTATAATATTTGTTATTTTCTTATCACATAAAAAATATTATTACTTTGACTTTTAAAATTTAAAATACACTGTTTATCATATAAACATCAAAATATATATATATATATATATATATATATAAATGTTAGATATGTATGTACATATAAATAAATTTATCTAAAATGAAAGATGTTGACAGTATGAATGTATAAAAAGAAAATTTTAAATATGTTATAAAAAGACTTACTACATTCCAATAGTTTATCCCTTCAAGTGTTAAGAAAGATGCTATATATATATATATATATATAATTAACTACTGACCTTCTTCCGTACGATGAAACGGAGGACATCACATCTGAACACGACCTTCGTACAACACTATCTCAAGAAGTCGTTTCTGTAAGAAGGACCGCTAGCTGGGAGCCGCACCGCCGCACACCGGAACTCCACGAGCCTTGCGTAGACTTGCACCGCCGCCGCGCCGTCTCGCATTGTTGCTTTTTCTTCCATTTTTATCTCTTCTCCGTCGAAGCCACCAGACCAGCTTCGAACTCCGGCCAGTTTCGAGGCTTGCTTTCACTCTCGTGCCCTATATTTTTTAAAAAAATCATTTAACTGTTTTCAATAATATAAAAAAAATCCGGAATTTCAAAAATATAGGAAGTTTAATGTATTTCAAATTCATTTTACTTTGAAGTTTAATGTATTTCATTTTACTGCCGTAGATTCGCCGGAGAAGCTAAGGAGGCGATGGAAGCGTCGAAACTCTTTCTAGGATTTTTCAGGTAAAAATATATGATGTCTCCTCCTGCTACTTTTATTTTATCTCTATACGTGCTAGATCTCGTACTACACTAAGACGCTAATTTATTACTCCAATGTTTTTGAATTCTGGCAAACATCACTGTTATGGTATGACTCATATATCATATAGGGACAGACGCTGGAACGAAGCGGAGCAGAGCGGAGCGAAGCGAAAGAATCTGTCCAAATCGGGAAGTTACGTTATGTGGGTTGGGGGTGTTGGGTCAACGCCCCGCTATACGGTACAAGGGTAATTTGGGAATTACATATTGTACTGTAGGGTTTATTCTAGGATTATAAATAGAACTGTTTGTAATCCTAGGTCTTTGAGAGAGTTGGATCCCGGAATTCTGTAAACTCTTTTCTGATTATTGAAAGGAACACGCCGCTCTGCTCCCGAGGACGTAGGCATCTTTGCCGAACCTCGTTAAATCTCTGTGTTCTTCTGGATTTGTGTCGATTACTGTTTTTCTTCGCCCTTATTTTCTCAACAATCACACAATACTCTAATCTTTAAAATCACATTAAAATATCTCCACCCTAATCTTTTAAAAGTCAAATGTACATTTGGATATATAAACTTATGACATCGAAATCTTATAAATATAAATATTAAATTTTATGAGATATGTCATATCTAAGTCCATAAGTTTTGTGTGGTTCGTATGTAATTTTCTCAGGCACGGTGGCGGGTCTCAGAAAAATCTAATCATTTGAATGGTGAAGGGAGGAATGAATGGAGGAGCTGAAATGGTGGATGAATGGTTGTAGATTCTCAGTGGATTTGATGGTCGGTGTTGACCCTCTCTCTCTCCACATTTTTTGTCTAAGAACCTTGACAATTATTTTATCTTGGAGTGAGTTTATGTTAATATGAGTTTAAAGCTTATTAAAGAGGGTCTTTTATGTATAAATATATATCATATAATTTTTATGTATTTATATATTAATATCTAATTTTTAATTTTTATGCCTATAAAACTCAAGTTTTTTTATATCATATAAAATTTAGATGAACTAAAATTTAAATGTTAAATATATAAATACATGAGAATTATGTGATATAAACAAAAATTTATATGTATGTATGTATGTATGTATGTATGTATATGTGTGTGTGTATGTATGTATATATGTGTGTGTGTGTGTCGTGTTCCCCAGCCTACTGGTTGACATCCACGATATAAGACTCATCAGGTTGGGAGTTTCAATCCCTTCTGACACAATTGACCTTAAAGATGTAGTACTCAAATTTTTAGCCACATTAAGAATACCTTAGTGTTTCTTACTAATACCATCAAATGATGATTCCAAATAGTCAGACATACACATACACGCAAGTAATATAAATATATCATTCAAGTGTTTGTCGCATTAAATTTAATATACTATATATAACATGCATGATATTAACTATAAGCCTTTTTACCAAATTCACCAATAATATATATATATATATATCAAAATAAAATTTTAAGAAGTTTATCATTATCAAAATATTTGGTCAGAATATTCAGATCATATCTCTTTTTTCAATTATTTGCCTATTTCAAGCTATGCCTAAAACCCCTAGAACTTAAGTGGCTACCCCAAAAGTCACGTGCGGGGGGGTCGAGCCCGAACCTCAAACCTACTCAGCCTGGACGCAAACCCAAACAGGCAAAACAAAGTCATTCAAAAGCTCAATCAATGGGCCCCACATCCACAACACTCAATTCACCATCAGCCCTTAACCCACGTGCCATCTCCCCATCTCCCCCTACTGGCATGCATGCATGGGCACAAAATAAAAATGCAAGTATAATATTATTTGATAAATACTATACGACAAATATGTTAAAAAGACAAGTATATAAGATCCTATAAGATTTAAGTTAAATCAAGTTAAATCCCTTCGTAATATTTGGTGATCGCCTCCTCTCATTCGACAAGAGAAGCCTTCATCATTAAATTCTTAAAATCCACCTATTCATTTTTATAATTACTGTTATGTGCCAGAAAACTTGTCGTGATAGAGTGATAATTTAACTTCTTAATGTTGCACGAAGATTCAACACATAGGTACAAAAAGTTGCGGTGTGAGACAAAAAAAAATTTTATGATGGAAAACAATGGAATGAGAAATAATCACGAGATATAGTTGATCAAAGTAATCTATTATATGTTTGTACGCATTCAAATATACCTTTCTTTCACGACAGAAAGAAGGGGGTTACAAATTTACGCTAAAAATTATATTTATCCTTTTATAGCTAAAAAATACAAGTGGCATGAATTTCAAAAATAATGGTAATTTGGCTACAATGGATGCAAACAGTGGTTGTGGAAGACTGGCGGTTGCAGCTGTAGGTGGTGCAGTGGGTGTTGGTCAATGGCAATTAGAGGCTAAATACACCAGCGATCAACTATGATTAGAGATTACGGAGGTTGATGGTTACTCGTCATATCTTCTCTCCATAACTAGCTCTGAAGTTTCACTTCTTTTATACTCCTCCCTCCAAGTGAATAAAGGGACCCTATTTATAAATTTTTGGGGGGAGACATTTTTGTGTAAAACAACTAAATCATTTGATGTAAAACAACTAAATCATTTGACTGTAACAAAGAAGCAGCTTGTATATTGCTGAGGGTAAACTTTGCTACAGATGAACTCCAACTTCTCATACTTTTATTAACGGGCTATGAAAGAAAGTAAAACTACAGCTGCTACAGTAAGTATTATATTTATAGTTGAGCAGTAGACTGTTCTAGAGAAGAAGTAGTCCCACTGCCAGAAGTTTGTTGCAGAAAGTAGTGGAGGACTGATTTGTTTATTACAAGAATTTAGTTTTTTACCTATGGTAGGGAATGTATTTATTGACGGTTTAACAACGACAAATTTGATGTGATAAAAATGTTTATCCGTAATGAAATTATCAACAGATTTAGAGACGGTTTAAATAAATAGAGGTATCTGACGTTCCATAACCATCGCTACAATTCAAAAATATGTCATATTTAAC